ACACACACATTTGCCGTCGTACCAGAACCCACATAATATTATGGCATCCATTGTTCCTATACGTGTGCTATTTAAGGCAAAAATAGGATATAATACTGATATGAGAGAGGGGACCTGTACACTGGCTTACCCAACATAAGGAACTTGCTGCCCCCTACCCTCACCTATTGTTTTAAGGCGCTCATATGACCTAACGCAGTTGCGAGCGCCGTAAAACCCTGTACTACTATACTATTGTTTTAAGCCATGGGGTAGTTCAGGTCTCCACTGTTGTAGTATTTATGGAATCAACGTTAGTTTCTGATACAGTCGAGTACATTCCAGAAAGTACACTATATTACCAAGACAATCATGATTCATTTTTTGTAAATCAAATTATTTAATCATAGCAAAGTCTTTTTTCCTTCTTCTTTTCCTTCTTCTTTTTCTTTTTCTTCTTCTCAATTGCATAGCATTGTACAGTATTTTTAAAATCAAAATACAACTTACCTTTTTTAAACGGAATATAATAAAAACTCATCATCTCATCTTTGCCATATACATTGTAGCAATTGTACATTAATATTTTACGAACAACCTTCCAAAAAGTGTATTTATGGGAAGATAAATGGTGCTGTGTTAATAGCAGCGAAATATTCAATGAAACTTGGAACATTATACACATCTAAAACAACAACATCTGCTCATTAGACCCTCATATTTTAAGCAGCCCTGCATAGACCTGTTGACAAGAACCCACAGAAAGGAATTAACACTCTTGTTGCCACATTAACTGAAGTCATTGCTATCCACATAGTCCAAGAGTGATGAAAAAAAAAGGGTTAAACAAGATGGGAGCACTGAATTCTACACGTTCTGGGTGAAAACTTAAATCACAATTTTGGCATAACACACATGCTTTGTTCATATGGTCAGAGGAGGTCAGAGAGCAAAGTGGCTCTCCTAAGCTCATCTTCCTTGATCAAGAAACCAAGCACGGAAATGTAAGAGTAAGACGAGACATGCTGAGGTGCTGGTGACTTCTGAAACTAAAACATTTAACTATCAAGACTATGCTACACGCATAAAGTGGATGAGAAACAGTACTCTCCCACAAAGATACTGGTCCATGGCACTCAACTATGACAACTACGCAACATTCATAAACGGCACTCCCCCCCCCCCCCCAGTCCGTGGCAATGCAAAGGTCTTTAAACACTTGTCTTTGTTGACTAATCAGAGTGTGCCTGTGTAATCACACCACTTTTACTTTTACTTTACTTTTCCCATCCAGCGGCCATTTGGGTTCTAGCCCTTCGGTCTGTCGATATGGCAAAGAATTGACAGGTTTTAATCAGCTGTGCTTTGTACAGTAATCACACCACAGAAAGCACGAACAATTCTGTGAAACGCTGGAGTAACAATCCAACAACTCTGCACACAGCATCTTTTAGAACAGGAGGCTCAATAAATCAAACTAATGGTCAAAGGATTCAAAGTTTTGTGGAGCAATACAACTGATCTTCATACAAAAAAAAGAGTATTGGTAGATATAACCACATTACAAACTTCAATAGCCGTGCGCAAGTTGCGCGCATTAAAGATCCCTCGGTGGTCCAAAATCGATAAGAGTAGGCTTCGGCCCCTACCCAAGCAAAAATTCAAAATTTCCAACCAATTGAAATGTTTAATGTGTCCCATGTGCTCCTATGACTGTATTCAGTAGCGAGCGCCGTAAAATGCTTACCCCCTACCCCCCTGAAAAAAAAATGTCAATAGCCTTAGGTGTTGCTTCTAAGACCTAAAAAGTCAGGACCCCCTATTGACCAAAGTTTCGTACCACATCAGAAATTCAGACGTACCACAGGAAAGGACAAACTAAATCCCTTACAGTAACTTACAGCTGTTGGAATGTACCAGTCACCAATAGACTTGAGATGAAGTTTCCCAGCCAGCCTGCATTATAACAGACATTTCTCCCTTAGAACAGTCGACGACGGATGAGTTGATATCGTTTAGGGGAGTGAAAAAAAGATCAGCTCATCCGAAATTCAACTTTATCGTTGGGACTTGAAAAGAAAAAGAGATGCTGAGACCCGATAAAAAGATCAACCTAACCAAACGTCAACTCAAGCGAGTTCAACGCAAGCAGAGTCCACTGTATATAACAAAAACGGTGAAAAGAAGAAAAAAGAAGCAGACTACACTGAAGCCCCCATCAACTAACTTCATTTAGATACGGAGCGACGGACTACCTAAAACTATGGCCAAAAAAACAAAACTGAACAATAAGGGCACAAGGATGTAGCTCTCACCTTTTTTTCAAAATAAAGATACAATTATAAAGATCTATTAACATATCACTTGGATACTGCATATGGTGTACAACTAACTGAAAGGCAAGATTGTTTCTAACCATCACAAAATAGTTTTCCTCCTTTTCTCTTTTATTTTTTTGCCATTTTTATGAAAAATATAAGTACGTAGATTTCAAGATCACAAAAGTATACCAAAAAACCCATAACATTCACTGCTAGTGTAACAACAAACTTGACCAAGGAGGCCATTTCTCTACAAAAAAGCATCACAATCACAAGACAGAGAAACTGTGTGAATAACGTTTCAACTCACTCACAGCGGAACAAAAATGCAATTTCATGACAATCTACAAACAGCATTCTCAATGAACGCACACTTTATGCACATATAGAAATTCTTTCCAAGAACCAGTAACACCTTATCACTGAAATTATACTTCTCTTTCCGGGCCCTAAAAACTGTAACGTTGCTGTTATATGTACGTGTATACTCCCCTTTTGTGTGTTATAAGCAACAAAGATAATATGACACATCGCCACTAATCTGTAGTATTGATAACGACAGGATGCTTTCTAACACTTTGCTTCCTGCTCTATACTTCTGAGTAAAGCCAGAGAGCGAAAGGTTTAAGAACAGAGAAAGAGAAAAAAACAGTTGCAAATAGATGTTATGCGGGAGAACCATCAGAAAGGGACAAGCACTTTGCATCTACTTATGGATGTAATCTTCCACACAGAGGAAAACTTGGATCATCTATAGTCTATAGATCTATATTTCTGAAGTGTCAAATAGCTACAAAAAATTCCTGAACTTTTCCGAGTCTGTGGGAACTTTAGCAAGGAAACTCAAAATTTACGAATCATTTCGTTTGACCCATATTACATATTGTATTGAGACTTTTTTTTTAACACAGTACAAAATGCAGACGATATAAAAAATCAATTTGATTATCGACACTTCTGACATTTTCCTACAGACATCCTCTTTCACTTTCAGGTACAAAAAAAAAATTACTTGGTTTATCTGTCTAAAACAACATGAACTAGAATGCTGTTTATGACCTATCAATCTGTCCCCGTGGTTTTATGCACCCCGCATAATTTAGCAAAATTTGATCATTTTTTGCATAATTTCTTTTTATTTTCCTTTATCATTCTTTGATAAAATTAACAGAATCGCATAATTTCACATTTTTGGGCTCAGTTTGCATAATTTTAGAATTTTTTTTGCATAAAACCGCGGGGACAGATCAATCACGAAATTTAAGACTTATCACGGAGAGAAGAAAACTGAGATTCCTTTGAAAAATAAGAGCACCTAGCTCTCACACTGAACACTGTACAGTTAGTTAGTCTGGGTCACACAATCTCTTTTGGATATGTGAGCAAGACAATCCAACCAATCTTGCATGATAACTGTATTGTACAATAATATAAATATGCTGTATTACTTTCTAGCTTTCAAAGCAGTATCCAGCCTGACATCACCAGAAGAAAATAAGCTAAAACAGAACAGAATTCCACTACAGAATGTAGTAAATATGCAAGTAAAACTTAGTATAAGTATAACAACAGTAACTTAGTACAATTATTTTACAAAACAATAAAAAAGAATCAAAATTAATAAGAAATCTGTATCTATGGCAACACTTTGTGTTGTGTGAAATGTGCGAGACTTGCCCAATAGGAAAGTAGTGAAGAGACAGAGATTACACAGGACCTCTCTCATACACACTCTCTCTCTCTCACACACTCTCTCTCTCTCTCTCACACTCTCTCTCTCTCTCTCTCACACTCTCTCTCTCTCTCTCTCTCTCTCTCTCTCTCTCTCTCTCTCTCTCTCTCTCTCTCTCTCTCTCTCTCTCTCTCTCTCTCTCTCTCTCTCTCTCTCTCTCTCTCTTCTCGTGTAAACATGGCTCATTTACCTCTACTTTGCATTATACCATCAGTCAAAAAACAAAAACACCCCAAAAAAAAAAAAAAGGTGTGGGCATTGCGTTCATGAAGAAGTTACTTGTGTGAACATTCTGTGCCAAAAACAGTAGGAAAAGTAGATATGCACATCTCTTGATACCGGTAAATGCTGCTGTAGTTGTGGTGATTTGTACAGCAACTCAAAAACCATAAACAGGACATTCCAGAAAGAAAACAGGCCATTCCAGAAAGAAAACAGGCCCAATTTCAGAACAATTCAGCCACATTTCACATCACTACACACAATACATGCACAGATAAAAAAGCAGCTGTAACATAATAAAGGGCATCTTGCATGATGGCGCCGACAGATACATGGCTTTAAAAGAAAAGTTAGAAGACCGACATTTTATGGCAAAATACAATCTGGAAAACAATTGTGAATCATTAGCTCGATTCAGCTGATGCTCTCAGTGGAAAGAGAGATTCTGACCACATTTTTTTCTGTACGTGTTTTCACACCCCTATCGACACAATTTAGATCAATTAGGAGGCGGGCTTTTGATCCTCCCCGTCGGGGCCAACCCGTACCGAGAAGGATACAACATCCTGGCAGAAAGACCGAGATGCTTAATAAACTTCCCCCACTCGGGAATCGAACTCGTGTCTGTTCTGTGCAACAGCAAAGCACCAACCGCTACACCGCAGGCACCCATAAATGTGTATTCAAAATAATGAACTGATTGTAACCTTCATACAGTGCTCTCATATAGGAAAGGAAAGAGGATATGTGCGCGAATCAGTTTCACCAGGACATCTCACAACCTGTCAAACCTTATGTAAAGCAAAATGAAAGACGACAAACACATTTCCTATCCTTACACTAAAAGAAACTAGCATGTCAGCTGGCTGACAATTATCCCATCGAGAGATTGAAAGATAAAATCCTGACCGGATATTCTGCAGATTAGACTACCACGTCGATATTCCTGCTGATCTCAAAACAGGCTGGACTAAAAAAGATGAGGATTTTTATACCAACAACAACAAAAACATCATTTAAAAAAACATATCTGACCAGACATAAGGGGAGTTCATTATTTAAGACACATTTTTCCTTCTTACTGTAATTAGAAATTATATATATAAGAAAGATATTAGTTTTTTTTAATAACCATGTTGAAAATTGGCATTTTTCTCAAATGAACCCAGCACCAAAGGGCAGTAATGGTACAAATGGCTTAACACTAAGAGGGTTAAGAGCAAGTTGCATAATCAAGAAATACAGGGCTGCATCACAGCATGGCAGATTGATACCAACCACTGTTTCTAACAACCATTTCAGTTGTGAAGTACAGAAATAGAAGTCTCACAATAACAAAAACATGACAGCCACACCAAGCTAGCGACACACAGCAATGGCCAGGAGGAAAATAGATATTAAACTAATTATTTACGGCAGTTTCGTTTTTTACCAGTGGAGCGCATGAATAAGATTACAAATAACATAGAAAAAAAAATTTGCCTGAATGAATTCATGATTCTGCATAGGAAAGGACAATTTATCTGAATGAGTTCATGATTCTGAAACATCCATGCCCTTGTAGCAATTAAACTGTTCAATGATATGAATAAATACTGATGTTGGAGTTTCAGAAAAGATGCCACATTCATCCTGTACACCTCTTGATATTTTATGATAAGATCGCAAATCACCTGAAAATCATAGGGTTGCTCCACAAGTTAAGCCAATAAGTGAAAAACAGTGACCATAAAAAAGAGGTAGATCCGAGGCAACTGACACTATAGAAGAATATCAGCGGTGTAGCAAAAACCTCGACCGGCGGGGACTCGTAAGCACCCAGCTCAGACATGATTCACGTTATATAATCCTCCCCCTCTAATTGTTTCATAACACGCCTGCTGGGACATTTCACTGGCCCACATTCAGCACTCTTTTAAGGACCCCCGAGCAAGTGTAGAGTTCCTGCGTGCTGTCGGTATCACTGACCGCTTATGAAACCATGGCGCCAGAAGAGAGAGAGCGATGGGGAGAGAGAGAGAGAATTGTTTCATAAAAAGAAGTAACAAAAGACTGCAGAAACAAAATTTCAGAAGGGAAAGGGTGAAGCATACATCACCAAAGTACATTGTTTCTCTACAGGCAAGACCTCGACTTCTTCAACCTCTCCATCCCAGCCCGTAAGGTGACCGATGAACAGTTAAGCCCCAGCATAGTCAAGTATGAGTCATACCCCTTCACAACAACGTACAAATTTTTTTTTAATCTTTCTCAATTGTGACCAACATCGTCCATTTGTACCAGAAAACTGACATCTGTCCTTTTCCATGAAAAAAGAACAGATCACACAATTAACTTTCGCGATACCAGCTTACTTTCTCTCTCTCTAAACCAAGACATGGAATGCAGAGTTGAGATACTGAGACATTTGCCAAAACAGCAAGAGGAAAATAAACGAAAAGTAAAGCTGAGCAAAGCAAGACTTGCTTCCATGGAATGACTATGATCTGCGGTGGATCAACAGAAAGGGGAAAAGCGGAAACATTTTGCAGAAAAGCAGACATTCATGGGAGAAAAAGACAAAATTATACACATATTCCACGTCTACCCAGACGTTAGGTTCAGATCAAATCTCAGTCGCAGAGGGCTTGCACTCACACAAAAATCTTTTCCAATTTGTTACTATAACATATACAAGGAGAAATATGTCATCATAAACACACCAAAGAGAAAATTTTTGATGAAATGCTTTTGAAAGAAAAGTGGAAGGAAGAGATTAATAATAAATATATATATTCCAAGAACTAGTCTCTCTTACGGGGAGCTACACAATCACAAAGAAAAGCCCTGGCAGACACACAACATCCTTTCAAGTCTACACTCAGAGTTGAAAAAAAAATGTTTTAGAAAAATAATAAACAATAGCACAAAGCAAGCACCATATTGCACCAACAAAATGTTTTCAAATTACAAAACTAAAAATGTCTATAAGTAGTCAACCTAGCACTTCCTAGATAAAGTCACTGAAACATTGTCACAGCAGTAAAGACATTGCTACTGAATCAATATCAAAGCAAGCCTCCTTCGGGCAAGCCCCAAAAAACTTTTCAAAAGCCTAGCAGCATGTTTTAACAACAAAAAAAAAAACTTAAGTCACCACTTACTAGATCACAACGCAGTCAGAGCTTCCACACGCTCACGCAAACGTGACCCCCGCATGAGAAACTGACTGAAAGAGACAGAGAAGTGGCTGGTTTTTTGTCAAACGAAAACAAGAAGCAGCTTTTTGTACAGCGTTGATATTCACACAACTTGGTAAATGCAGCTTCCTAAAACAGCCATACACACAAAATGGAAAACGCAGCTTCCTAAAACAATGGAAAAACGCAGCTTCCTAAAACAGCCATACACACAAAATGGAAAACGCAGCTTCCTAAAACAATGGAAAAACGCAGCTTCCTAAAACAGCCATACACACAAAATGGAAAACGCAGCTTCCTAAAACAGCCATATACGCAACATGCTGACAATAACCCATTTTTTTTAACAGGAACATCTCAGACCTACTCATTTTCTGTATTCAACAAAAAAAACAAAAAAAAAAACTTTTTAAATAACACCGACTACACAGCTAGCCCCCATTCAAACGTTCGTCTCGGCCATCCACTTTTTCACCCTCTGAATCTCCACTTCCGTAGTTAGTCGGAGCTTCTTCTCCTCGTCCACCTCCAGGATGACGTCGCGAAGCTTCTTGGTGTGGTGGTTCTTGAAGTTCTCGAACTCCAGCTTGAGCCGGTCGTGCTCGGCGCGCAGTTCGTTGAAGGCAGCCTTGCTCACCGAGTTGGCCTTGAGTTCCTGCAGCTCCCTCTGCAGCTGTTCTAACAGTTTGTTCGTCTGGGTGTTGGAGGCAGATGGTGGGGCTGGGGAACACACACACAGAGAGAGAGAAAAACACAGACGCTGTGAGCAGCCAGGAGCTATTTCATCAAAATCTCAATCATTTACCAGTATCAAAAGAAATAAAATCTTAGTGGATTGACTCATCCATCTAATTACAAAATTCTTTTTACAATGGCATTGGCAAAGGCATACTAATCTCAAGACAATTCATTCAAACATTCCATTATTCCACAGGCATCAAGTAACAAATGTGGGTGGTTGGAGGGTGCTCTGGTGTGGTTTGCTTCTTCTTTCCTATCAAACATCTATCGTCCTTATCTTCCATTTTTCTTTTTTATGTTTCAATTGTTACTCTCTTGTAACACCTCTTATCTTCTGGCGCTCATATGACCTTAAGCAGTTGCGAGTGCCGTAAAACCTCTACTAAAAATTTTTTTTTAAAGTAACAAATACAAAAGCCAAAACTGTTTGAAATGGGCTGTGTCCTGACAGCCAAACCAACCATCTCTAACCATTTGAACCCTGACCCCCCTGCACTCACCCGGTCCATTCCCCTGGGTACCTGAGCATGCCAATGGAATTGAAATTTCTACACAAAAAACAACACTGGTGGTCCTAAAAATCAATAAGAGTAGGCTTCCTGCGCCACCCCGGCAAAATTCAAAATTATTTCCTGCCAAACTGAAAATGCTTAATGAGTCCCGCGGGCTCGTATGACCTTATGCAGCTGAAAGCTCCGTAAAACACTTGCCAAAACAAAACAAACAAAATTACACAATATCTAGGAACACACTTGACGTTGTGGTTTAAAAATTAATCAATGAAAGCCTAAACAAGAACATCTATCTATCCATCTATATAATATCTATGTATCTCTCTCCCATTCTCTCCATCTATATAATATCTATGTATCTCTCTCCCATTCTCTCCATCTATATAATATCTATGTATCTCTCTCCCATTCTCTCCATCTA